TTTTTTTTGTCGCATTGGCTTCCATATAATGAATAAACTCAATTTATTTGTATATGGATGAAAACCGCAACACCTTTGGAGAAAAAATTCTAAAAAATCAACGGTAACTTTCAGTCACTTGAAACTTGCACATTATCAGACTAAAATTGATTGGGCTATAAAACTGTGTATTCAGAAAAATTCAAACAATTCTGAGAAAAAAGTTTGAAATTTAGGTGAAAATTTGTTGCACTTTTTTGAAGTTTTCTACAAATTGTTAAACTTGGGTTTATATGGGGTTTGTTAGAGAAAGAACTGTATTTTAATTGAAAATTCTCAAAAATAAGTAAATAAACATAAGGGGCACACAATATCACTTGGAAATGGCGTGCTATAGATATGACCGATGCTGTAGATGTTCTTTTCCAGTCATCTATAAAAACGCCGGATGTTAAAGACTTATTGAAAATACGCGTTAGCGGCTCAATCAGGGAGGAGCACTTTTTGAAAATCGCCGAAAGTCCATCCGCGTCCATTTGTTTGGAGGATTTTAGCGATTTGATGCCTCTTCTAACGTCTTCATTGATTACAAAAAGCGAACGAAAGACAGTGACGAGTCGGAAAAGAAACAATCATTGAAAGGTAGCTCAGCATCGGATACAAAATTGGCACACAAAAAACTCATCAAAAAGATTAGCCGCATCAACAAGAGTGGTCACATGCTTATCGCATAGAAGACGGAGGAAGGAATGCCAGAACTTGATTTTTTAGATTTTATATATAACTACAAAAAGCTTTTGTGTTATTTTTGATGTTGGATTCATAATTTTTAATGTACCTATCATATAGACGCTTATTGAGGGCGGTGAAACTCTTACGGTAATGGTGATAACGTTCAAGGTACAAAGTGTGCCCGGATTTTTTGATTTTTTTGAAGAATTTGCTCTTAGATTTTTCAGACGTTTCAGCCCTTTTGTGTACCATGGTAATTTATAGGGTTTCCTAGAGAGGATGAGATCCACGCAAAGATCAAATACACGAGATTTAAATGTGGTGAAGGCGTTGGTGGTATCCATTTTAGTGAAGAGCGCGTTCCAATCGATTCTTAGCAATAGTGAATTAAGCTTATTAAAGTTGCATAAATTATAGTTGAAAATAGGTTGCAAAGTACTAGGCGATGGAGTAAAGAATTCGTAAAATTTGAGTATAATTTCTAAAGGAATATGGTGGGCATTCCGCGGAGAAATTGGGGAATCACATACCCCCAGCTAATAATTTAAGTTATCACTTAAATTCAACCATTTTTATCACTTAAATAAATTAGGTCTAAAGTCGATTAAAATCATTAAAATAATGGTTCATTTGGGATAGGCCAATACTTAAGAGACTATCAGTAACATAAAGTTCATTGGCATTACACACATTGACTGGCATTAACACTGATGAACTACTTAAGTTACTTGTCCTAGGACAAACATATGGTGATTCTTAACTTCAGAGCTTAGATAAACTAATATTACGTTCAAATTGGCCCCATTTAAATTGTTAAATGAAAAAGAGCTTTTTGGAAAACACAAACGTCCACATTGAACATTTGGAGTTAACTTTGATGGTTGTTTGATTACCAATAAAAATTCAAAAAAAAATATTCAAAATCAAGATTTTGTGTGGTTCAATTTGTTTTAAGCGAATGTCTGCTTCATGATATTACCGCATACGGATAACTTAGAGGCTTCAAAATGTTTAGTTCGTATGCACTATTTATCTCTGCGTTCGATGAGACCTCTTGGAAAATAACTAATTACCGCCTTGGCCTCTTTTTTGGCGGGCAGACATGCATACAATTTTGATATTTTTTGATAATTTTTAATATTTTTCAGAATATAAATTTTTTGAACGTTGGCGTGTCAAATGAAAGCTTTTGCGTCTTTCTGATTGGTCGGAGCCGAAAGCTTTCTGATACAACTCTGCGCTGAACTGGTTTTCAAACGAGTTAAGTGATTTAACTGGTTCAATTTTCCAACAACAATTGCATGCCATTTAACATGTTTATGAACATGTTTTGTTCATTTAACTGGTTCAAGCCCATTTAACATGTTTAGCTCGTCAATTTGAACGTAGTATAAATTATCAATGTGACATTTATAAATCTCATCGTTACTGTTGGGCGGGATGTACGACGCACACACGAACAGTTTTCCGAAAGAGCCCCGCACAGTGACGAAAAGGTTATCGAGGAGGGAATCAGAATTACGTAGATGAACTAAAAATGAGCTGAATTTCCGCTGTACAGAAATTAACACCCCGTCGCCTCAGCAACACAGTTTTAATTTCGTCTCTATCTTTCCGAAAAACACTGTATAGGTTTGCATCGAAGAACTCGGAATCGAAGAAATTATTATTTAACCAACTTTCGATAATTACAAAAACGTCATAATCTAGGTGAGAGCTTAATCGACGAACTACCCCTGCTTTGGTCCTCATACCAGATACATTGTGAAAATATATTTTTAATTTATGCGAAGATTTTTCTGCCGCTATGTTTGAGTTGACGGACTTACTTTCCTTTGAAAAAAAAGAAAAGAACGCACGGTGACGTTAGCGGGCCGAACTTCCGGCAATAGCAAATTATCAAACGAGTTTTCCGGTACCCCAAGCTTAAATTTGACACGTTTTAAAGAGTCAGTTGGCGCATCCTTTTTAATAAGTTTAAAACATGGTAAAAGATTATTTTCGATTCCGGAGTGTTTTCCAACATACATATTCAATAATATCAACAGAGCTGACAGAAGGCTTAAAAGATGATAAATGAAGCCACTTTGATACAACAGCCGTATTAAGCTCAGCATTAAAACTAGATCCAACGACACACATTTCACCTCTCTTATTACCGGCCTTGGCAGCAGTTTTACGCCTTTCACTGTTACGAGCGAGAGACATTGATTGTATCGAATCAGTAGCATTAGATATGGGGGTAGAAGGATTAGCAAGCGAAGAAATTTCGCCACTCCCTAACGTAGATGTTCTACTTTCACCAGACGTCGATGCATCGACAACTTCACGACGCTGCTGCACTTTATTTGTTTTGTTTATTGTTTGCTGATCTCCACCCATTCGCGCGGCAACAGAAGCGTATGATATACACATTTCACCGGTAGCAGTGACGTTAGTTGGTGTTGTTGTTGTTGTTGTAGCGGCTACAACAACCCCGCCCAGATAGGTTGATATCTCAGTCGTTGTCGTCAAGTTCCACAAACGGCAGGCCTAGGAAGCGTGCAGCTTCTCTCGGGTCGGTCCACAAGGACAAAGCCGTTAGGGTTGTCGGGTTTTCCGGATATGCGAAGAGATGTGTCGAGTCATGTGGGGTCTCTCCGCATGCCGGACACTCATTTGGCACATACTCATTTAATCTACTCAGGTAGGAGTTTAACCTGCTGCAGTAGCCAGAGCGGAGTTGGGCTATTGTCGTTCGTGTCTCCCGAGGCATATGAAGCTCCGTCTCGTCTATGTCCGGTGGCGGTATACCTAGAACGGCATTTACAGGTCTAGAGTCTACATAACTCGAGACTGACTCCCTGTGAATGCCGTTCAGGACCAGTCGGTAAGCTGACGGGTCCAGAGGTTGCTTGATGAACCTCTGGACTTCGTCCGTCAGTTCATATAGATGTCTCCTGATGTGCCTAGGCGAGGGCTCCTCTGCAAGCAGCTGTCTGCTTGGGTGGCCACTTCTGTGGCTCCCGATCAGGAACTGCTTGCAGAGCATTATATTGTGCTCCTTTACAGGGAGCATTTGCGCCTCGCCGTGCAGGTGGTGTTCAGGCGACATCAAGAGGCATCCTGTCGCTGTCCTGAGTGCGGTGTTCTGTACAGTCTGTAGCTTCGTCCACTGCGTCCTACTAGTCCCTGGCGACCACACTGGCGCTGCGTAGTTCAAAACCGGCCGGCCTATTGCCTTGTATGTTGCCAGCAACGTTTCTTTGTCTTTGCCCCAAGTACTGCCGGCTAGCGACTTGAGGACCTTGTTGCGGCTCTGTACTTTATTGACAATAGCGGTTGAGTGCGCAGAGAAGGAGAGCAGGCTGTCGAATGTTACTCCGAGTATTTTGGGGTTATTCACCGTCGGAATTGGTGTGTCATCGACGTGAATCCCCAGCGGTAGCCTGACCTCCTTCGTCCAGGTTGTGAACAGGGTCGCAGAGGATTTCGTAGGGGAAAGGGCTAGATACTTTCCAGTGAAGAAGCGAGAAAGATCGGAGAGATATCCGTTTACTTTCGAACACTTGTCATCAATTCCATCCCCAGTCGCCATGATCGAGCAATCGTCGGCGTAAGAGACAATCTAGACTCCCTCTGGTGGTTGAGGGAGCTTTGAAATGTAAAAGTTAAACAGTAGCTTGTAGGGAGCTTTGAAATGTAAAAGTTAAACAGTAGCGGGGAAAGGACACCACCCTGTGGAACCGCCGGTTAGTTGGCGTCGACGCCGACGCTGTAACACTAGCATCAGTGGGAAACGAACGAACGCCCAGAGACGAAGAAGATGGAAATAAGGGAGGACGATAAGCGCCATCAGCCGTAGAGGCACTCTTTATATCAGCATTTATAACGTCAGATGAAATGGTTGGCTTATTAGCTTTATCGTTTTTGTTCACACAACTACAGCAATGCGCAGTACGACGAAGTTCTGCGAGTGCGAAGTAAAGCGAGAGTCTTAACAAACTCGTCCGCTGGCTGTTTATGCAAAGCTACCAACTCTGCATGCAGAAAGTCACTTTTTGCTATTAAGAGCTGCTTGTCGGTATGTAGGGCATTCATCAGTTCAGTGGAACGCACTTGTTCGGATTTTAGAGCCGCAATTTCACTTAGTATATTGAATAACGTTAGTTGCTTATTCTCTTCATCAATGTCATTACATATCATTGGTGAAGAACTTTGACTGACTTGATTATCAGACAGTGTTTTAGCATTAGGAGATAGTTGTGAGAGAATAGGCGAATTAGACGACCATGTACTCTTGGCTGCGGCTGAATCTTCCCAATTATCGTTAGGGGGAGAGGTGCGGATGGATTTTTTGCGAGCGGTGGCACACTCGTTGAAAAAATATTTATTTCCAGAGCTTTCTAGGGTATTCACCCTAAATTTCTTAAATATATACTTTCTAAAATCTTACCTTACATTACTCACGCTATAAATACCATCATAACCACAGCTGTCTTGCCTACCAGCTGGAAAAGAGCCAAGATTTTGCCTTTTCAAAAACCCAACGGGGACTTTAGGCCGATTGCGATTCTGCCTTACCTATCCAAGGTTCTAGAGCATATAATGCATCGTCAAATGAACTCTTTCCTGAGGAAAAATTCTCTGCTTAATGAATACCAATCCGGCTTTAGGTCAAACAGAAGTTGCATTACTGCACTTTTGAATGTCACAGATGGTATCAGGCTGAACATGGACAAAAACCACGTAACTTTTCTTACTCTTCTTGATCACTCTAAAGCTTTTGACAGTGTTGATCACAATTTTTTCCATCTAAAATTAAAACACTTGTTTAATTTTACACCCTCAGCGCTAAGTCTGGTCAAGTCGTATCAATCGGACCGATCTCAAGGAGTTAGATAGTGTTTTTGCATGTGGTTAAAGGTGTTCCTCAAGGGTCGGTGCTTGGTCCTTTATTATTCGTCCTGTACATCAACGACCTCCCCAAAGTATTAAAACATTGTGATATACATGTTTATGCTGACGACGTCCAGTTCTTTCTAAGTTGCCCGTTCGCCTCAATTAATATATGCATTCAAAATCTAAACAACGACTTAAGTCATGTAAATGAATGGGCTGAAAGAAATTGCTGTGAGCTCAACCCAAGTAAATCTCAGTGTATTGCCATCTATAAGAAATACTTTCCTCTTGACCGGTACGATAAAGTAGTATTGAATAATTCCGTAATCTATTATGTAGACTCTACAAAAAACCTAGGCATCATCTTTAATCGAACTCTATACTTTGTCCCGGAGAGAATTAAACTACTCCTGGCTAAGGCTTATATGTTGTTTTTGTAATAAAAGACTTAATATGCTGTAAAACATCACAAGATACATATACGGTATAAAACGTCATGATCACATTACACACTATGCCTTAAAAGTGAGCTCAATGTCTTTTGATAACCTGTTAAAATTGAAGTGTCTTACGATGCTTCACAAAATTCTTGCCACAAACGAACCTTCTTATTTAAAGAACAGAGGGCTATATACTCGATCAGCCAGATCGCATCAACCCCTACACACAAAATTTAACTCGTCAATATCTGAACGTAAATTTTTTTTTGTCTTCGTAGTCCGTATTAGTCCTAATTTATTTAAGTGATAAAAATTGTTGAATTTAAGTGATAACTTAAATTATCAGCTGAGGGTATGTGATTCACCAATTTCTCCGCGGCCCACCATATTCCTTTAAAAATTTTACTCCAATTTTACGAATTCTTTACTCCATCGCCTAGTACTTTGCAACCTATTTTTAACTATAACACAGGTTTACACAAAAAAAAAACTTTTGCATATTAAACCAAACCTATATATCCCTATGTTATTCGACACGCTGAATGCGAATCCGAAGTCCATTAATCTCCACCACGTCAGGATCGTGGTCAGTTGAAGGTCAAGTAGGGAAAAATTCATTGAATAAACCTGAAAATTCATATACATAAGGTTTTACATTCGCTGAATCCGAATCCGCGGTCCGTTAACCTCCATAATGTCAGCTTCGAGGTCCTTTGAAGGTCAAATAGGACATAAAATTTATTCAATAAAAATTAAAAAAAAAAAAGCCGCAGAACTGAACCGCTCAGGTCCAATACTTTACAAGAGCGTACAATTGCTGGCGTATGCCGACGACATCGATATTATCGGTAAAAACAAGGGCTACGTCTGTTCTGCCTTCTCGGGATTGGATAGAGAAGCAAAACGAATGGGGCTGGTGGTAAACGAGGACAAAACGAAGTATCTCCTGTCATCACACAAACAGTCAGAGCATACGCGTCTTGGCCCCCACGTCACTGTTGACAGTTACAAGTTTGAAAAAGTAGACGACTTCGTTTATTTGGGAACCAGCATTAACACCACTAATAATGTCAGCCTTGAAATCCAACGGAGAATCACTCTTGCCAACAACTGCTACTTTGGGCTGAGTAGGCAATTGAGAAGTAAAGTCCTCTCTCGTCGTACAAAGATCACACTCTATAAGTCACTCATCATGCCTGTGTTGGTGTATTGCGCGGAAGCATGGACAATGAAAGCATCTGATGAGGCGGCTCTTGGAGTTTTCGAGAGAAAGATTCTGCGAAAGATTTACGGACCTTTTCGCGTTGGTGATGGCGAATATCGCAGACGATTTAACGATGAGCTGTATGAGCTTTACAACGATATAGCCATAGTGCAGCGAATTAAAATTCAGCGGCTCCGCTGGATTGGCCATGTCGTTCGAATGGACAGAAACGCTCCTGCTCTGAAAATATTCAACGCGGGCCGCGATGCTGGTAACAGAGGAAGAGGAAGTCCTCCTCCGCGTTGGAAAGACCAGGTGTAGAAGGACCTGGCTTCACTTGGCATTTCCAATTGGCGTCAGTTAGCACAGAAGAGAAATGACTGGCGTGCTGTTTTGGACTCGGCCAAAATCGCTTAGGGTTACAGCGCCAATAAAGAAGAAGAAGACGTAGTGATCGAAGGTAGTATTTATGTTGACTTGCAGAAAGCTGATCTGTTCATCACTAGATATCATTTTATGCACTGATCCCCAGTTTATTGCATCAACGGCAATATCGAGCTGATCGTATTTAACATGCATAAAATCACGTTAG